GTCACGTTGTGACCGTCTTATATATATACAAGACTAACACATATCTAGTAAATGCTAGGGCATTCTTGAAGGAACAGGATATTTCTAGAAAGCGTGGCGTGACCTCGCTGACGCAACAGTACATAACAAATTTACTAAGTACAAATAAACTAAGGTTTGGTTTTATTTCATCTTTATTCAAAGCAGTTTCTACGGAAATGAATTTCGGAAAATCCTCCCGGTATTTTTTTTTGTTAATTAAACTTTCCTAGCGCTTTACGAGTCGAATAAATAATTAAAACTTTCCTGGTGTTTTAGAGATACAGGAAACATTCTGTTATGATTGAACTTTCAAAGAACGAATTCTATTCTCTACGCAGAACTTAGTAAAATAAACCAGTTATCATTATTGTTTAAAAACGTCAAAAGCAAAGCTTAAACCTAAATATAACACCAACAAAAAACATGATACCGTGACTGAAAACACGTAATTGAACTGGGTTTCCCGGTCAATAATTCCTTTAGCGAAGAGCTCTCCTGTATGGACATCAACCATGAACGGGAAGCCTAACAACAAATGTTATTAATTCAGTGTTAATATTTTCTTATTGTTGAAACAAAATTGATAAAAGATTTTATGCAACAAATGTTTTTTTCTGGATTAAAACAAGACACCTAATGTTTTAATTTTTAAATCATGCACATTTGTTTTAGAAAAAACAATTACCTCAATTTCTAAAGAAAATGTTTCCTTAGCCTATAAAATAATCCCAAAAACTAATATTTGTGATTCTAAACAATTGCCCAATCTCATCCAATCCGCTACTAAATTTAAAACGCCTGATTTAACGCAGGTAAATGTAAAACAAAGTATTTTTCGGATGTGAAAGATAAACATATATTGTCATATTTTATATTTCATAGAACTATGATGCGATCAAAATTATTTTACTGCATTCAACAATAGTTTTATTTAAGAAATTCACTGGTTCAAGTTCAACAATAGTTTTATTTAAGAAATTCACTGGTTCAAGTTCAACAATAGTTTTATTTAAGAAATTCACTGGTTCAAGTTCAACAATAGTTTTATTTAAGAAATTCACTGGTTCAAGTTCAACAATAGTTTTATTTAAGAAATTCACTGGTTCAAGTTCAACAATAGTTTTATTTAAGAACTCCACTGTTTGAAAATTCAACAGTGGTTTTATTTAAGAACTCCACTGCTTTAAAATTCAACAGTGGTTTTATTTAAGAACTTTATGTATTCAAAATCAAAAACAATTTTATTCAAGAACCTCACGGGTTCAAATTCAACAATGGTATTAATAATTTCTTCACTTTCTCAAAATTCAACAATTGTTTTACTCAAGACCTAGTTCACTGTCTCAAAATTTAACAATTGTTTTACTCAAGACCTATTTCACTGTCTCAAAATTCAACAATTGTTTTACTCAAGACCTATTTCACTGTCTTAAAATTCAACAATTGTTTTACTCAAGACCTACTTCACTGTCTCAAAATTCAACAACTGTTTTACTCAAGACCTAGTTCACTGTCTCAAAATTCAACAATTGTTTTACTCAAGACCTATTTCACTGTCTTAAAATTCAACAATTGTTTTACTCAAGAACTACTTCACTGTCTCAAAATTCAACAACTGTTTTACTCAAAACCCACTTCACTGTTTCAAAACTCAACAACTGTTTCACTCAAGACCTTTTTCGCTGTCTTAAAATTCAACATTAAAACTATTGTTGAATTTGTGAAGAATGTCTTGAGTCAAAACTACTCAAGACCGCCTTCAAAGTCGCTAAAATTAACGACCCTTATTTAAAGATTATTTCACAGTAGTTTCCACAGCTTTACTAGTAATTCATTTATTTCATAAACAAGCTGGTACCATTTTTGACCTGTTTCACTGCCACTCCGTGATTTTTCAACAACAGATTTATTCAAAGCTATTAAACTGCCATTCCTAAAATCTGACAACACACTTTCGTTAGTCATTACAACAATGTCTTCCCCAAGATCGAAAAAGTGTTTTATACAAGCAAGAACTGTATTATTACTCGTTGCTGAGTTTCTATGATGGTTGAAGTATCCGAAGAATCATCCATTTTATATGACAAGGCAAAAGCAAAGTTATAGATATACATTGTGTTATTTAATAATGAATGCCTTCACTATTTATCCAATTATTTATTTAGGCTTAAATGTAGTATCCAGACGAAGTGTGCTATGTAAAGACAACAGAAAACACAGTAATAATATATTAAAGGTTTGTTTTTGTAAAACTACAGGGAATTACTTACCTTCATCAAACGTCATCAACAGATTGTAATCCACAAGCCCGTTTTTTCCCGTGTCCTCGTCCACAGCGTGTAGCACTCCAAGTTTCCACCTCTGATCTCGATAATCTCCTTCCAGTATACTAAAAGTGTATTCAGATTTGACAAACGTTGGTCGATGATCATTCACGTCAGTAACGCTGATGTTAACATACGTAGATCTTCCTAATCCTTTACCATCAACAGCACTAATATTCAGCAAGTAGAAGGTTTCGGGAATTAAGATTCCAACAACATAGATTTCCCCTGGAACGAGATGAAGTGGGAATATAGCAAGCCTAACTTATAAGTCTTCAGACTTATCGCTGAGCTACTGGTGCGGGGTGTAAAAGTAACTTGTAAATGAATGAAGATAGTTATATAAAAAGTCATAACGGGTAACTCGCCGTTAACGACATTTTCTGCCGTAAATCCAATAATATCTCAAGAGGTTATTGTAAACTTAGAAGCTTAAGCAAGTCCTAAATCCACACACACACAAAGCAAACAATGTAAAATAATCTTTGTAATTGTCTTTGTTACTCACAACATTTTGAAAAAAAAAAAACAAATTTAATTTTAAAAACGGCGGTTGGTGTTTTTGAATAAACGTGGCATATACATCTTTCGTGTGAATTAAGACTTTAAGGTTCCACATCTCTCAACCTTCACGAACCAGACAAAGTTACAAGGTTTAAAATGCTCGATGACATAAACTATCGATTTATGATAGATAACTGTTTTTTCCGTAGTGATTTCCTTGTTTTTACCTGTTACCGTGGTGATTTCCTTGTTTTTACCTGTTACCGTGGTGATTTTCCTTGTTTTTACCTGTTACCGTGGTGATTTCCTTGTTTTTACCTGTTACCGTGGTGATTTCCTTGTTTTTACCTGTTACCGTAGTGATTTCCTTGTTTTTACCCGTTACCGTAGTGATTTCCTTGTTTTTACCTGTTACCGTAGTGATTTCCTTGTTTTTACCCGTTACCGTAGTGATTTCCTTGTTTTTACCTGTTATTCGATCTATTCTGATCTCATTCCTTCCACCAGCTGTGATAATATATTCTACTTTTGAGTTGATCCCTTCAGCATCACTGTCCACAGCACTGACTTGTACCACTTTCGACCCTGGACTGGCGGTTTCCGGAAGTTTAACCAGAAGTGGACCATGCTGGAATTGAGGAGCATTGTCGTTCTCGTCTTCAACTGTGATCGTCAGGAAAGTTGAGGAGCTCAAGTTTCCAAAGTCTGTAGCAATGACCTTTACCATTGAATAAAAACAACAACAAAAAAACAAGATAAAATTGGTGTAAATTAATTTATGGAATTTGAATGTTAGAAAAAGAAAAACAAATGTAAATGCTATTTAAAATATTAAGAAATGCATACAGCTTTAGCCTCAAAGTATGAACACAATAAATAAATAAATAAAGACTTTTAGTAGATATTTAAACATTAACTGGTGTGAACTTGGTTTTAGCAGATATTTAAACATTAACTGGTGTGAACTTGGTTTTAGCAGATATTTAAACACCAACTGGTGTGAACTTGGTTTCAGCAGATATTTAAACACCAACTGGTGTGAACTTGGTTTCAGCAGATATTTAAACAC